ACTTTTTCCAGCCACTATTTTTATTCTGCATGGCCTTATTAACTGCCCTTGCTAACCACTGACACTTTTCCATGTGTGTATGGGATTTGGGTTAATGTACACTAATTAGCTGTTAATTAGACATATATCTATTGTCAGGGGTGTCTCAGTTTGAACGAGAACTGTTTGACAACTTTGTATAACTTCATATTCCTGTAGCTATCTTCACGTATTTCCTGCTAATCTCTTTTGAATATAGTCTTTTGATTAAGTTGTGTGTTTTCCATGGACTCTCTCTGACACCACGCAGACCTCCTCGTGGCTTTACAGCAGAGAGTTGGCAAAAATAGAGGAAAAAAGACAAGAGAAAAGAAAAGTCTTGTGCCGTCTCCATGGAGAAGCTGCTGACCTGGCAACCCTCCGACTCTGAGCTCTCATGTTAAAACACAGGGATCAGAATGTGTTCATGTCCAGGTCAAGAGGAAAGATGTGACATCAATGCTATTATTACAAAGCCCTGTTTCCAACAGCCCTACTCTACTCTACTCTGCTCTGCTCTGCTCTGCTTTGCTTTGCTTTGCTTTACTCTACTCTACTGGGCTCTGCTCTGCTCTACTCTACTCTACTCTACTCTACTCTACTCTACTCTGCTTTATTTTACTCTACTCTACTCTAATGGGCTCTACTTTACTCTACTCTACTCTACTGGGCTCTACTCTACTCTACTCTACTGGGCTCTACTCTACTCTACTGGGCTCTACTCTACTTTACTCTACTCTACTGGGCTCTACTCTACTTTACTTTACTCTACTCTACTCTACTCTACTCTACTCTACTCTACTCTGCTTTACTTTACTTTACTTTACTTTACTTTACTTTACTCTACTCTACTCTACTCTACTCTACTCTGCTCTGCTCTGCTTTGCTTTGCTTTGCTTTGCTTTGCTTTGCTTTGCTTTGCTTTACTCTACTCTACTGGGCTCTGCTCTGCTCTGCTCTGCTCTACTCTACTGGGCTCTCCTGTGCTCTACTCTACTCTACTCTGCTTTACTTTACTTTACTCTACTCTACTCTACTCTGCTTTATTTTACTCTACTCTACTCTAATGGGCTCTACTTTACTCTACTCTACTCTACTCTACTCTACTGGGCTCTACTCTACTCTACTCTACTCTACTCTACTGGACTTTACTCTACTGGGCTCTACTCTACTCTACTGGGCTCTACTCTACTTTACTCTACTCTACTTTACTCTACTCTACTGGGCTTTACTCTACTCTACTCTACTCTACTCTGCTTTACTTTACTTTACTCTACTCTGCTTTACTTTACTCTACTCTACTCTACTCTACTCTACTCTATTCTACTCTGCTTTATTTTACTCTACTCTACTCTAATGGGCTCTACTCTACTCTACTCTACTCTACTCTACTGGGCTCTACTCTACTCTACTCTACTCTACTGGACTTTACTCTACTGGGCTCTACTCTACTCTACTGGGCTCTACTCTACTTTACTCTACTCTACTTTACTCTACTCTACTGGGCTTTACTCTACTCTACTCTACTCTGCTTTACTTTACTTTACTCTACTCTGCTTTACTTTACTCTACTCTACTCTACTCTACTCTACTCTATTCTACTCTGCTTTATTTTACTCTACTCTACTCTAATGGGCTCTACTCTACTTTACTCTACTCTACTCTACTCTACTGGACTTTACTCTACTCTACTGGGCTCTACTCTACTTTACTCTACTGGGCTCTACTCTACTTTACTCTACTCTACTGGGCTCTACTCTACTTTACTCTACTCTACTGGGCTCTCCTCTACTTTACTCTACTCTACTGGGCTCTACTCTACTTTACTCTACTGGGCTCTACTCTACTTTACTCTACTCTACTCTACTGGGCTCTACTTTACTCTACTTTACTCTACTCTACTGGGCTCTACTCTACTCTACTTTACTCTACTCTACTGGGCTCTACTCTACTTTACTTTACTCTACTCTACTCTACTGGGCTCTACTCTACTTTACATTACTCTACTCTACTCTTCCTGGTTGCGTTTCCATTTTGCTTCAGTATCTGGTACCGTATCCTAGCGATCTACCCTCAACAAACTGGTTGAAATTCCTTGGTGACCATGCCTTCCAGCAGCACTCACTGGTACTCAGAACACTTTAGTACCAGCTCAGCCTGGATGGAGCCAGGTTTCAAGCAGGTACTAAAAAAGTACCTGGTAGCAAAAGTCGGAGAAGAAAAGGTTTTTCTCTGTCATTGGGACTTAGCATAAAAAGGTCAAAGGGCAGAAAAATACGTAGCTTGTTTATTGTACTTCTTACTGTAGTTTCTGACGTCGCCTTTAAGTGTTTTGCGATACATTCTTTGGCAAATTCAAGAAAACAAAAACTATTTCATTAATTTTCCCCCTTTTATCACAGTTCATTTGTGTGTGCGTGTGTGCTATGCTAGGCCTGTCTAGGTGTTTTTGAACAGCAGATTGGAGCCTATTGGTCACACAATCATGAACCAGCGGGTTAATGATTTCTCCTGCTGCTGGAGGCGTCTGGGGTTGTGTTTGTCTTTGCTCTCTGCTCCTACGACCCGCTCTGAAGCCCCCTTTTCTTTCCCCATTTCCGGACATCACTTCACTGCAGCCTCCTCCCCTCTCGCCTGTCACCGATCACTCACGGCTGTTCCGTTGATCCGGACAAAACTTTGGATCTGAGAGACCAAAATATACAGACCGAGAGTTCAGTCAAACCTCTGGGCTGCATCCAAATTCAAATATAAATCCTCGTTTCCTTCTGCTTCCTTGTCCTCTACTTTTACCGTTTTAAGAGGCAATGTTAAATTTAGGCTTTTCTCATGTATTATGTCTTGGGAAACTTTTTACTAATGTTATGTTTGAGAATGTGAGATAATTGGTTCATATATATAACATTTTGTTTGTGTCAACGGGAAAAGTCTTGTAAAAGTAAAAACGTCACAACAAACTGTCTTCATCCTATTAGAAAACATGTACATTTTTGCATACTTGTTAAGAAAAAGATCCCTGAAAGCCACTTTTTGACACTTTGGGCTGGTCTTCTCTTTGTCACATTTTTAGATCCGCTTTTACAGGCAGAAAAGTGGAAAAGGCCAACTACACACGCATGACAAAACTAGGGATGGAACTAACTGTTTTTAAAGCAAGAGTCAAGATGCATAGTTCATTTATTTGTGGTTTCAAAGTTATGTACCCGATTAAACAGAATATGGCTGGTATAATAAAAATATTCCTCACTCATGGTTGAGGTGGGACATTATTCTCCTAAAATCTGATAAAACATCTATCGAATGTACGCCGTTGTAAAGAATGTGTTTTGCTGGGAGACAACACTCAATTCAATTCAAGCTGCACTAACTGACTTTGGGATTTCGAAGCAGTTGTTTCGCTGGCCTCGCTCTTTCTCCTCCCCTCCCCGCACCCACGAAGCTATCGCCCCCCACACACCCACTGTTGTTTACGGAGCTAGCGTCTCCCAATATGGATAGATCCATGTATCGTACATTTGAGCGTGGATGGCGTGACCATAGAACGATAGAACCGGGAAGCGCGGAGGAACAGGTCTTTCTTTTGGATGGCTGTCTCGCTGTGTAAGCAGTAACCGGTAACAAAGACATGGGAAGCTTCAGGTTAGCTCCGCCACTTGTTGTGCTAACTCAGCCGTCTGTGCTAACGAGGGACCTGTAGATTTCTCAAGAAAGTGGGGGCTAGTGGTGCGCTGTGATTGGTCACAATCTGAGACCCGAAACGCATTCTGTTCCTTGTTTCATCAAAACTCGATCTAAAATATAATGTCACGCCTGCACAAATCTGCGCTACTTTTTCTTCAATATCCATATACGTATATCCCAATGCACTGCATGGGCATGGATAGCACTTTTGTAATGAATACAAAAATAAAATTAGTTAGTGCAGCTTTCACTGTACTTTTGTTTAAAAAGGCAAAAAAGGGCTCAGTCCAAGACATCATACAGTAACACATAGCAGTATTTTGTGGTCATACTTTTGTAGCAATAATAGTAGTAGTAATTCTAGTAGCAGTAGTAGTAGCAATAGGAGTAGTAATTGTAGCAATAGTAGTAGTAGCAATAGAAGCAGTAGTAGTAGCAGCAGTAGTAATAGTAGCAATTGTCAGGAATGAAGCAGACAGAGACGGATCGTGGTGCACCAAACTCTGGAAGTTTAAGTTTCTCTCAAGTTCCAGTAGTTTCCTTCTCTCAGACAGAATAAAGGCAGTACAGTTTATATACTGTAGTCATTGTCACGTCACACATCAAAAGACATACGTGTCACACAGAGACAGTCACATCATAGTCAAAATAATCAGAGTTCTTGTACAGTCTTGCACGTAGGCCATATTGCTATCTAATACTAACACAATAACAGTAGTAGTAATAGTAACAGTAGTAGTAGTAGTAGCAGCAGTATTAGCATTAACAATAGTATAATAGTAGTAGTTTAAAAACAGAATTTAGATTTTGTGTCACTGTCTGTATTGTCGCTGATAATAGAGTGGACGGAGCTCAAAACAACTCGTTATGTTTTTGAAGAGAGAAAAAAGTTGTACAATATATACACATTTGGATAATGTTTCCCCTTTAAGATTATTTTAACCCTACTTTCAAATGCCACTCCGTAAAATGCAGTTACCTCCAAGGTCATTGAAAAGTAGAAGGAAGGACGAGGAAGGACGAGGAAGGAGGAGTCTCGCGTGTGCATTCGGATGCGTCCCTGGCTCAGGCTCTGTTATAGTGGTTGGCTTGTTTTGGGCAGGCAGAGGGGGAAGGGGAGGTTTCTTAGGGGGAGGGGTGAAAGGGGGAGACTGAACATGCTGGCTCACTGTTGAAGTGTCTGCAACCAAACTGGAGAGAGCAACACTGGGAGAGACGCAGGAGAGAAGTCTGCTTTGAGTTTCGCCTGGGGAAAAAATGGATGTAAAATGAGCTGTATGTATGAGCAGTCCCTGAGAAGCATGGATTCGGACTCAGACTGTCCTTTTAACTACTCTTGGCCATCGTTTCCCAAGATGCGGATCCGCAAGAGACCCGAGAAGCAGAAAGGTAGCGGCAATGACTGTGAATACGGTTTCTTATTTTAGTCTGACAATCTTTCTAAGTTTGTTGAATGGGTCTCTGGACATCGCATGCTCCACTTGCAGTATTTAAGCTTAATTATATTGGAAATGGTTATGGATTATAATGTTAGTTGAATTTACGTGTCTGATTTAAAGGGGACTTACAAGTAGCCTGAAAAATTATCTGAAACTTTTTGGAATTTCTCCCATTTCGGCTTAAAATCACCATCAAAGGTGATCTACCTACATTTATGGATATTGGTCTCTGTCCCTTTTGGACCAATGGCTCTGTGTTTTTAAAATCATTTCCTATGAATCAGCCTATGAACTGGTTGATTCTCTGATCTGTTGTTGGCAAATCGACAGCTTTTTAAAGTCCTCACAGATTACTACTGTTGTGATTTAGGGCTACACAAAAGTAAACTCAATTGAATCTTTCTCAAAATCATCCACATGACAGATGTCGACTCAACCTAGAGCCACCCAGACATTCAAAGGTTGTCATGTTAGTGATGAGGATAACATGCAAACAATGACAGAAGGGGGAGGAATAAGTGACTGAACTGAACCTTCTGCCTCTCAGGAGACGATGAGAGCAAATCAGGTGTGGGTCCAATCATTGAGGAGTGGCTTAAAGCTGCCCCGCCCTCTACAAAACACAGATTCATTTATTTGCCTTTTGCAGTAAAACCCCATTGGAATACTTATGCAAAAGTCCCCAGTGTCTCACAAGTACATACATAAAACAAGATTAAAGTACAGAAATAAAACCAACAAAACGGTAAACAATTGACACTGTGAAATCGATTGACAATAGCAGTTTGTGGAAAGAAGCTGTTAGCATGTTAGCATATCCAGATATCCTGCATCTCAGTGAACGATATCTTCTGCCAGAGGGAAGAAGCTGGAACATTGCTTTTCCATGTCATAAAACAAATTGCCTGCTCAAAACAAAACAACTCTCCGAAGACATTTGTTGGAGAGTTGGTAATTTGTATATTTTTTATTTGTTCACAAACATTAGTTGAATCCACATCGTTTACTCTTAGATTAGAGGTTTGTGAAGGGACTCTCAAGAAGCACAACTTGGCTTTTATGGTGGCTGAGTGGTTAGTACTCTCGCTTCTCAGCAAGAACGTCCTGGATTTGAATCCTGGTCGGAATGGGGCCTTTCAGAGTGGAGTTTGCATGTTCTTCCTGTGTCTGCGTAGGTTTCCTCCAGGTGCTCCGGTTTCCCCTACCACTAAAAACATGTATAATTGGTCTGGCATGCTTTGTGACTCTGGTCTGGTCTGTTCTGGTCTCTCACCCCAATATAATCTGCAGATGAAGAGAGTTTTTGACTGTAGCTTCTCTCCCAAAGCCTCCTCTGCATTTGACCCAGATCCTGATGCCACTCGGGCGTCTGGCAGGAGCAGTGGTCACCATAGTAACAGCGCCCGAGAACCCATCTCCAGACTTTGATGCTCGGCTTGGTCAGAACCGGAGCTGGAGGATTATACCTATTGTGCATGTTTTTAGTGGAAGGGGAAACCGGAGCACCTGGAGGAAACCTACACAGGCACGAGGAGAACATGCAAACTCCCCTCAGGATTGAAACCCAGGATTCATACCAGATATTGCAGGAATCTGACTGAGCTGCAGCAGTTTTGTAGAGAGGAATGGTCAAAAATGTATCTTGAAGCGTTCAAAGTTATCGTGGCCAAAAGGGGGCGGGGCAACTAGCTTTTAAATGTGTTGATGCAGTTACTTTTTCCTCCCCCTTCAAACTATTGTAGTACCATAAAGACATATTAATGTGTGGGTGTTTTTAGTTAAACTGAGACTATTTTGTCGTCTGTGTGAAGTAAAGGATCAGACCATATTTTACTTTTTTTCCCAGAAACGTTATTAGGTCATTGACAAAAAAAAAAAAAAAAATGTCTTTCCTCCGAGGAAAGGAATGCACCTATTTATTTTTCTGACAACTTCTTTGTTTGGTCCCTTTTAGTCATTCTTCTAAGTTAATTCATATAGATGTCAAGTCGTTATCCATGCTTCTAAGTTCATTCATGCAGATGTGAAGTGGTTATCCATGCTTCTAAGTTAATTCATATAGATGTCAAGTGGTTATCCATGCTTCTAGGTTCATTCATACAGACGTAAAGTGGTTATCCATGTTTCTAAGTTCATTCATATGTGTGTGTGAAGTGGTTGTCCATGCTTCTAAGTTCATTCATACAGATATCAAGTGGTTATCCATGCTTCTAAGTTCACTCATTCAGATGTGAAGTGGTTATCCTTGCTTCTAAGTTGATTTAGTTTGGTTTTAAGTGGTAAGCCATGCTTCTAAGGTCAGTTAGTTTTCTTTGTGTTTGTGAGATTTCTGTGGAAATGACATAATTTACAAACTCGTTTCTTCAAATAGACCACGCAATGTTTAGATACGAATCTAGCAGGATGTAATTTTGCACTTCCACCACTAGATGGGGCTCTACCAAAGACAAATCTTGTTTTAACACATTCAGAATTAACTCATATTTAGATAAAAACCACTCAATTCATGCAATTATTAACTTATACTTTATCATGTTTTGCAGTGTGTATATATAAAACATGATTTTAGGTACCGCAGCTTTAACATCGTCACCTGCCATGTTCCCATTTAGACATTTTCGCTTGAGATTTGACTCGACTCATTCTCCAGAACCAAGACGCTGACTTGTATTGACACAGATGGCGTTGGCTTCACTGCGCACATATTAAAGTTTGCCTATTCAGGACTTTAACACGCACACGCGCACACATGCACAGGTTTTTTTTGCCGTGGAAGAACTCTGCTAAAATTAGACTATTTCTCCTCGCGGACCTCCAGGGCTGCTTCATCGTGTCACTCACCCGCTCTCGAACGGCTGATAACGCTGTGTTTACCCGTGATGTAACCCGATATGTGACAGTCCGTTGGGGAATGTCAAACGTCCGCTCCAAGTCCCAGAATCAGGCAGCAGTAGCAAGCAGTAGCAAGCAGTAGTAGGCGGATTTGGTCAACTGTACAAAGCAATACAATAGACAGATGGAACACATACTACTGTTATATAAAGTCCGTGGAAGGTCTCTGAACACAGACACAGAAGCCGCTAGCTAAACTCTGTTAGCATCAGAGTCCGCCGGCTACTTTCGGCACTTCCGGTGCGCGCCAGGACCTCTGGTCTGAAGACCCCTGCGTCTGAAAACTAGAGAACGTGCGTTTCAGCGTTGCCTGTCTGAAAGCACCATTAAGCTTTGTTAACAGGTGGGAGGGGTTAACTCCTTTTGCAGATTGAAACGATTGGATCTGAGTTTACCGTGACATATGTAATGCGCCCGAGTGAGTCGTTTGCATTTAGCGTCTTGCTCCAGCTTCAATTTCTTGATAGTAAAGTATTCCGGTCTGGATCTATCGCATTCTTCGCCATTGCCAAACTACAACATGCCCGTTCGGCGCAAACTCTTGACGTCACCCACAACTAACTACAACACCCACCTCCCGCGCTCGCTGATTGGTCGGATGGAATTTTACCGATTGTAATCACAAACACAGGGACCAGACCCAGACGTTACATGCAGGAAATGATGATTGAGCAACAATGGTTTGTTTAGAAATAACAAATGTATAGATTTCTTGGCCATTTTCAATAATAGAAATATTTTTATTCAGTGTTGGTTTTCAAGCATCAAGTTTTGCACAATCCAACAAATAACAACTGAATGTTTAAAAATCTCTTAATAAATCTTAATTTTCCTCCCAAATGCCATCAGACTCAGTCACACATTCACCATTTCACCCCCAGTGGATATATACGCTTTTGTCTAAACATTAACTATAATTGTTTTTCGTAAGCGCCCCCCGTGAGGCAGACAACTATGTTCAGTTTCCATAAAGCCAGCAAGTATTTCCAGCTATTAAAGGGCATTGTGTTTTAAACTGGGCTACAGGGAAAACACTGGAATGCCGAACATCCCTAATTAGTGAGTAAAAATAAAGCCTCTGGAACTTTTAAAGCAGGAACAAATAGCATGTTAATAACTAATACTTCATGAACTAGACTATGTAGTAGTAGTAGTAGTAGTAGTCTCTATGGCATCACACCAAAGTACATCAGGGACTGGCCTCCTGCTGGTGACTCAGAGGAGCACAGGGACTGGCCTCCTGCTGGGACTCAGAGGAGCACAGGGACTAGGCATTCTCCTGCTGATGCCCAGAGTCAGGCATAAACATGGGGAGACAGCAAAAGGATTGTATCACTTTTTTTTATGTACCGTGACTATGATTTTAATTGATTATTATTGATATAATAAGGTCTCTCTTGGTCACTATGACTCAACAGCAATATGGAGTTACAGACTGGTAAATCTAAATAGTACGTTAAATACTACTTCTCAAAAACATAACTGTTCCTCCAATTTAAAACGTGAGAACACAAGAGACAATCTAAAAACAGAGCGGGTTGAATAATCCTCATCTTAAACAGTGGAAGCAAAGTGGACTAAGCACAGCCTTGAGTTTCCTTCTATTCAGTACTTGCTTTAAAAACTGTTATTAATTTTTTTTGCTCAGCCTAAAATGACAACATCAGTCATTGAAGGACTTGTTTTGGATGTCCCGGAGCATCATCCGGTCCTCAGCCCCTTCAGCAGCAGAAAAACCTCAACAAAACCCACTGGGAAAATAAAAACCTCAGGGAAGAAGCAAAGAGAAGGACAGGATGTAGAGCTACTGCTAACACTGCAGAACTGTGAGCAGAGAGATGGATGGACAGGCTTCACGTGTCCGGACAAAATATTTAAATTTATCAACGTGGACGGGTCAAAAGCCTCATTCCCACAGAGCTAAAACATGAGGAAAAAAATGCAAACAGGCTGAAGTGTCAATAAGACTTGACATTTAACCAGCCTATATATCTTTTTGCTGGCCTGGGAACACCTCAGGATTCCCCCAGATGAGCTGTGTGTGTGGAGAGGGAAGAC